AGATAGATAGATAGATAGATAGATAGATAGATAGATAGATAGATAGAAAATAGATAGAAATGATGAGTAGGGTAGGTAGATGGGTATATGATAGGCCTGAATCAGACACATTTGTTCTAGGTCAGCAGTTCTCAATCTGTGGGTCATGACCTCTTTGAGGGTTGAATGACCCTTTCACAGGGGTCGCCTAAAACCATCGGGAAACAGTTGCTTACATTACAATTCATAACTAACAAGATTATGGTTAAGTAACAACAAAAATAATTTTATGGTTGGAGGTCAACACCACGTGAGGAACTGTATTAAAGGGTCGCAGCCCTAGGAAAGTTGAGAACCACTGGGCTAGGCTAGTGTCTGGCCCCAGATGCAGTGGACGCCATGGATTCAGAGAGAAGAGACCACACAGGGGAAAAAAAAATAGTGACTCTGACTCTATAAATGTTTGCCCTGTGTCATTCACAGTCACAAATTAGAAATAGTCTGGCTGGAGTTCCCTCAGAAGACATCTTTTCTATTTACTGTATTAAATCCTAGGAGTTCATAAGTGAGCTTTTACCAGAAATCAACATTCTCTGCAAAATCGTAACTTTTCTCCTGTTTGGAACATAAGTCCTTACAGACTCAAAACTATAGGCCTCTTTGGGAGGGGGAGGGGAATCAACACAGCCCTTCCTGTTCTGTCTCAGAGCACTCTGCACCCTCCACATGAGCTGATCTGTAGGTCAGAGTCTGAAAACCCCAACCTCCCGTGATTTGCTCTGAGCTAGCAAAATTGCCTCCAGGAGCAGTCTCTGAAGTCATCCGTGCCCAGATATTCCTAGCAGACCGTGGCAGAAGAAATGGCGGAAGCAGGCTGAGGGTAGATGCAGTCAGGCTACCGAGGCATACAGGGCACACCGGGTGCGTCTGAAAATGGTATTCCCTGCTGCCAGTGAGCCACCCTCCCGATGATGCTGCTTTTGTCAGTAAGCACCTGTGGCCCACCTGCCTTCTCTATGTAAATTGTATGCTAATGGAGGGAGATGATTCTAGGTTCACAGATTTTTCCAAAGGTGACAAGTCAAAAAGTAAAGAAAAGTTTTGGCGTTCAGGGCCTCATAGTTATTACTTCCCAATTAAATTCACAGAATCTCAAATTTAGGTGTATATATATATATATATAAATATATATAAAATGATATATCTACATACACATAGGTAACTGTTTAATACGCAGAAGTTCTAGGAGTAAGCTGGAGAGTGCAGTGCTGCCCTGTTGTTTTATTAAGTGGACTCGAAACGGCTTCATGGATACCTGGTTGCCAGGGGCCAGCTGGGCATCCTCTGTACCAGCAGAGGGCTGCCCCACATACCTGGGCTTCCTTTCACCTTTTGTTGTCAGACCATTCAATTTTAGAGAATGTCAAGATCAAAACAGCCAGGGCCCCTTTCAAGTGAGCTTGTTGTAAAAGCTGTTTTGTTTGTCCCGGGTTTTGTTTTCAGGCCGAACCTGCGTCGTCTAACAAGTGGCAGCTGGATAAATGGCTAAACAAAGTTAATCCTCACAAGCCGCCTATTCTGATCCAAAATGAAAGTCACGGCCCTGAAAGGAATCAATACTACCCGCCCGTGAAAGATGAAGGGCAGGACTGCGGGAAACTCCCTGAGATTTGCCAAGCCAGCCTGAGAGACAAGGACCTCAAGACTGCCTGCAAGGAGGAGCAGCGACCTAGGACCGCAAACAAGGCCCCTGGCAGCAAAAGTGTAAAGCAAAAGTCTCCGCCTGCCGCTGCAGTGGCTGTGACCACAGCTGCCCCGCCACCTGCAGTGCCCAGCGCACCCACGGAGAGCGCACCAGCACCCACCAGGAGGTCAGCGGGCAAGAAGCCCACCCGGCGCACAGAGAGAACCTCAGCTGGGGACAGTGCCAACTGCCACCGGCCAGAGGAGCCCGTGGCCCCAGACACACTGGGGGCGAGCGTGGTGGGACCCCCAGAGCCTCCCAAAACCAGGCCCTGTGGTAACAGCAGGACCAGCCACCGCAAGGAGCTGCGCTCCTCCGTGACCTGTGAGAAAAGGCGCACGCGGGGGCTGAGCAGAATTGTCCCTAAATCCAAGGAGTTTATTGAGACAGAGTCTTCCTCTTCCTCTTCCTCCTCGGACTCGGACCTGGAATCGGAGCAAGAGGAGTACATCCTGTCCAAGACTCAGAGCACCACTGGGAACGAGCCTCGGCTAAAGGAGGCCACCAGCAGCACCAGCAGCACCTCCCGGGCCCCTGTGGGCTCCATCAACGCCAGGACCACCAGTGACATTGCCAAGGAGCTAGAGGAACAGTTCTACACGCTGGTCCCCTTTGGCCGGAATGAACTGCTTTCTCCCCTAAAGGACAGTGATGAGGTCAGGTCTCTCTGGGTCAAAATTGACCTGACCCTCCTGTCCCGGATCCCAGAACACCTGTCCCAGGAGCCTGGGATCTTGAGTGCTCCTGCAGCCAAGGACAGTGATAGTGCCCCCGCCAGCCATGCGTTAGACACGCCTGCCGAAAAGACTTTGCCAAAATCCAAGAGGAAACGCAAGGTAGGCCTAGAGCTGGGAGGCTTTGGGAGGAGCAGTCTGTCTCTCTTTGCACTTGAGGGCTAGGGATAGACCGTAGCTAAGCTGCTGGGCTGGGCTGCAGGTGGCTGCCCTGTGTGTCGTCCAACCATTGCATAAGTAATAGATATACATACACATACACACACACATAGATAGATAGATAGATAGATAGATAGATAGATAGATAGATAGATAGATAGATAGATAGATAGAGATATACATACACACACATATATATACATATATATATGTATATCATATATATGTGTGTGTATATATATATATAGTGATCTAGGGAAGTACTGCCCCAGCCTGAAGAATGGTTAGTTATACGGGCAGCATTTACTGAGTGTACAGATACAGGCTGAACATCGAGCACAGGGAGACTGAACATATGGTGAGCCCCATTCTTTGCTGAGATGGGCAGGATAATGCTGACAGTGGAATCACTCATGCACTAAAAGGCCTCATAGAATGTAAGGCTGTTGACCGAAGTGGAAGATGAAATCCACTATCCCTGAGGTCGTCAGCCAGGGCATCACCGGCAGGTGTTCCTTCCCAGAATGATGAGAAAGAGCTTCAAAGCAGAACAGGGCTGGGAATCAGATTCTGGGGAGGAAGGATGTTTGTAGGCACAGTGGTCTTTGGGTCGAGTGGCACTTGAGGAATGGATAGGCTGGGCAAGTGAGGCTTGGATCGATAGGCAACTCTAGAATGGGAGAGCCCAGGCAACCTCTGGCAGTGACTCAAGGACACAGCCAGTTTTGAAGCTTTCCAAATTGGGAAATACTTCCTCCATCAAACCAAGTTTGAGAACTTTTAACAACCGCTCCCATGGCTGTGTTTGGAGTGTAACAGAGATACCTCCACTGGTCAAGTACTTGCCAAGTAAACGGGAGGACCTGAGTTTGATCCCTAGAACTCCTGTAAGAAGCTGGACAGGGAGGTGCATGCTTATAATCCCAGCATAGAGAGGTGAAGACAGGCAGACCCCTGGGACATTCTCTAGTGCCTTAGTTCCCAGTGAAAGATCTTGTTTCCCAAAACAAGATGGCTAGCACCTGAAGTCAAACTCTGGCCTTCACATGTACATGCATGCTCACAGACACACACACACTCACACAATCTAATTCAGACCACAAAACAAAAGCAGCTAGCAGCAAACCAAAGGTTACACTACTTGTGGATTGTTTGAAATGCCATCATTACCAACAGCAGTTACCACATGCAAATGTCCCTGAGAAGGATACTGTTGAATACTTAGGGTTTGTCCAAGGTTATGTCAGTTGAAATGGACCCAGACTGTGGTTGGGCCCAGATTCCCATACTCAGTAATGCATCAGCCTGAGTTTTGTATAGCCATCTTCCAATTTCCAAAGGGCAATCTGTTCTGTCAACAACAAAAAGAGACACTCTGCACACATGGGTTTTACAGCCTTGATTAACAGTGGTGGGTGGGGGCAAACTGACTCAGCAAGTATCCGCTCTTGGGCCATGCCATTCAGATGGCCTGAGCAGTCCCAGACTCACCATGGAAGGAGAAAGCAAACTCCCAGAAGTTGTTACCTGATACCCACATGAGCACCGAGGCAGGCACGTGTGTGCATGCACACATACACACATGTGCACATACACACACATGTGCATGCACACACACACACTAAATGAAATAACTTGGAAGTTATGTTTATTAGGCAATTTTCCTGGCCAAGATGAAGATATTCCTCATTTTGGAAGGGTTTCTGTTAAAGGCATAGTCTCTTCCTAGTGACAGTCATCTTTATTACCAGCGAGGAAATCTATTATACAGGCACAGAATGTGTTTCTTCACAGAGTAGCACTAAACAACTTCCTTCTACAAAGAAGAATTTGAACCTTGGCAAAGAAAGACCACCAAAGGGCAACTACTTCCTTTGTTCTTGATACATCCACAAAGGCCTGTTTTCAGTGTTTCAAACTTGTGTGTGTGTCTCTGGGTGTGGGTGTGTGCACACTCATGGATGTGCCACAGTGCGCATCTAGCAGTCAGAGGACACACCTGTGACGATTCTCTCCCTCCACCATATGCATCATAGGAATTGAACTCAGGTAGGCAGGCTTGACAGTAAATGCCGTTACCTTACAGAACCAATTGTACCAATTGGCCTGTGTGCCAAGACCAGGGGAACTAGCCTCCCATTCAGTCGAGAACATTGTCATTCCGTATGCCTCCCATTCTCCATAGGAGGGTTGGAAAGGGCAAATGACTGATTGGACTCCCTACACAGAACGACACAGCCGGCTCTCACCCCGCTGAAGCCCTATACCTGAGATCCAAGGGCTTAAAGTTTGCTTTGGACCCTTCATGGGGCCACGATAACAGCATGAGCTTCTAGGATCCCCCGTTGGCAGAGGCTGTGTGACACAAACATAGTTAAAAGAGTCAAGTTCTCTCTGTCTTTGATACTTGCTTTTTTTCCTCCTGGAAAACACCCATACAGCTCCGAGGGTACCACACTGGAGATGGCTCTCGTTGTCTCCCCAGGAGGGGCACTTTGGGCGGTGTATTTCCACTATAGCCTAACACGGTAGAGTCAAACACTTTTTGTGCAGCAAGAACCCAACCCAAGTCCTTTTTTATCAAAAGGAAATTGAAGATGTTCGGGGCCAGAAATTCCAAGCTAGGAGGAAAGCTCACCAGGCAGCAACCTCTGCTTGCCGGTCTCTAAAGGCGTTTCTGTCAATGAGGCAAAGCTGGGCTTTCTCACCATTGTGACTCCAATGAGCTTAGATGAAGCACACTTCATATGCTTTATTCTGATACCAAGAATGCAGGGATGAGTGATAGAGATGCCTCAGTGTAATCCAGAACAGAGCTGCTTTGCAGACCTACATGCTTGGTGGCTTTTGTCATCCGAGTTCTGATCGCGACCTGATGACGTTCCCTTTACTAAGCCCAGCACATGTGAGCGCCGGGGAGCCTATGCCAGGGGCTTTGCTCTTGCCCCATTCTCTAGAGAAGGTGGGTGGGGACACCTCCCAAGAGGCCTTGCTGTATGACAGGCAGTGCCACATAGCTCACTGGCGGCCCTCAGAGTCCCAAGTTGATTGGCTTCTGTTTATTACCGCCCAGTGTGACAACGAAGATGACTACAGGGAGATAAAGAAGGCCCAAGGAGAGAAGGAGAGTGCTTCACGCCTGGCCGCCTCCGCTAATAACACCTTGTCTGGGAGCCACTGCAACCTGAACATCAACAGGTAAGCCTGGTCGTGTCGTGTCCCGTCCCCCCCTCCCCCTGCCACTCCACCAAGGTAGCGGTGAGCTGGACGGGGCCACTGGATCTGAAAGTCACATGCTGTGTTGAGGAAATAGAAGATCCTTTTTCTTATTCTAACCTGAGTCTGCAGGCTTGCTTCCCTCAAGTCAACCAAAAGCTGTATCAGGCCCTTACCTGTAACCAGCAACCAATGACCAGGGATACACAGCTCTGAGCTCTGTGCTCCCCAAAGATGATCTCTCTCCCCCCGAAAACTTGATAACCAAACCTTCCAAGCTCCTACTTTAATAGTAACTGCAAAGGATATAAGACCATAAGAACCTGAAGTTACACCTAAGCTCTTGGGTGTAGACAGGTTGTAGGCTTAAAAAGGATCTGTGCTTCCAAGGTCAAACCGCTACCCAGTGACTCCTCTAAAGGAGCAGACCGGGCCACCACACACCACCTCCCTCTGTGATAAATGGTCCTCCAGCCAGGCAAGGTCCCGGGCATTCATTAAGGCAAGTCGCTTAGCATCAGTCATAGAGGCTTTTCCATTTAGAAAGCACCTCAGCCCAGACCCCGCTTTTCCTCTGCTGAGACACTTCTCACTCTCCCTGACTATACACAGAGGGTTTTTAAGGGGAGATTAATGGTTCTGCACAGCACATAAAAATGTAAACCAAAAGGTTGGGGGAAGATGTAGAGCAGTGCTGAAAGGCAAAGAGGCGGCTGGAGAGCAGAGGCACACAGGCCTGTGCACGGTGGGGATCACCTTGAGGTCGCTTCCGGAACCCTGCACAGGAGGGAGCAGACTCAGGGCTTCCACAGTCTTCTGTGCATTCCCACAGACTAGGGAAACAGGCATGAAGGGACCCTGCCCCCAAAATATTTTTTGTGCATTCATCTAGTAAGAGTCATAACTGCTGCATAGCAATGAACACAAATGATACTGCAAGGTGTCGGAGACAACTGGAGTATAGCAAGAAAAGACCTGCAGTTTCTGCCGAGACACGATTGTGGGTATTGCTAAGATGATCCAGCTTAACCTTACTTCTAACTAAAGGAAGTGTTCTAGTGAGAGAGGAGGATGGAACTCTTTGTCATCCAGATTCATGGACCTCAAAAATCTTGCTCTCATGACTGTCTGGCAGAGCCTCCCAGATCTGAATGTTTTGTTGACACTAAGTAATGACACAGAATGAATGAAAATGCAGAGTTCTTTCTGGAAAGGGCGGTCTACGAACCTCTGCAATTGTGATTTTACTGCCTGTTTGACCACCGCAGGACACAGAGCTGATCACCCAGCTAGGAGGCTCTCCGTAGGATGCTTCTTTGGCCCACTTGAGTATGTAAACTTGCAACAATGAAGAGGCACCAGTCATATATGCCCATGATTACATTTACTGTCACGGTTTGTTTTTCGTTACACATAAAGAATGTAAAATAATAGATACTTAGAAGCAGGTCTTTTTTCACTCAGATGTCAAGAAATGATTGCTTCTAGGCTTTCCACATCCATCCTTAACAACAGCATCCTTCCCTTTGGTAGACACAACTTTGAGTTCATCCAGAACAGTTGCCTATAACATGTTACTCAGTACTTTTGGAACTAGAAATTGTCTCCACGTGTATCTATTTGTGTGGTGTTTATAAAAGCTTTGCTGTTTGTTTTAGAGGCTAGTACTTGAGGTTCCCACTGTGACTGCCAACTAAGGAAATTGCTTTTAGAAGTGACTTTAATGACTTGTTTGCTCTGATAACCAACACACACAATTAACCTGTCATAACCCCAAGAGTTACAACTAAATTTTCATTGGTTGTACCATTTTGTTGTATTTGTTGTTGTTTGTAAACTGTATTAGTTGACTCTATGTGTTTCTTTAGTTAGCAGTGATTGACTCTATTTCAGGATAACATCTCCTCCACAAACGATTCTTTTTTTTTTTTAATACAGAACACACAGATCCCTAGCACTAAGCATCATCATCACTGTTAAGACTTTAATATAAGTGAATCTGCCCTCTCTAATGGTTGATGTTGGAGAAATTCTATTTAAGAATAGACAGTAGTCTTTGAGGTAAAGATAAGGTTTCAGGTACCAGTTGCTTTGTTCAGTGTTTATTCTGGTCAGTCTCTGGTGAATTCAGAAACTCAGCTGTTGGAAGGTGGCTTCAGGTCTTGGAAAACCCTGCCATTTTGTGACTGTATCCTACAAGCTCAGAAGCTGGCCAGTGCCCTCTAAGAAATTAAGAGTTTGGTTACTGCTGTTGACTGCTGATTGACTTTCCCAAGCTTCCTCACACTGTGAGGAAAAGCTTGTTTGTTCGGTGTTTGTAGGTACCTGGCTGAAGAACTCAAAAGTGTGGACGTGTTACTCTTCTTAGTCTTACACTGGCAGGAGCTCAAGATTGCTGTGTGTCCTAATAGAGGCAAGAAACAGTGCATGAGATTTGTTTATCGTGTTCTGTGGTCCTAGTGCCATAAAGTCACTTCTACCATAATAATTCCCAAGAAGCTTCTTCCTGCCACCAGATTTTAAATGGGGGGATTGGGTCGTACAAGAAGCATGGCCCTTTTTCCTGTGCACACTGCGAGACTCTGTTGCTGTTTCTCTTTTCAGCTTGGCAATACCAATAAACAAAAATGAAAAAATGCTCCGGTCACCCACTTCGCCACTCTCTGACGCCTGTAAACACAAATACTCCAGCGAGGACCTGACTTCTTCCAGCCGCCCTCACGGCAATGGGGTGTTGACTTCTGCCTCTTCCAACAAAAAGCCTAAGGCTGACAGCCAGCTGCAGTCACATGCCGGAGACCTCACGGTTTGTCCTTGCCTTCTTTTCTCAGTAAACTCGAGTGAAATTCTGAGTCAGCCCACCACGCTGTCCTACACTCATGCTGGAGGCCTCATGATGAGCCCCTGAAAGCGACTTCCGGGGAGATCTGGCAGAGGAGAAGTACTCCTCCTCTCTCCACAGAATACGAAGGAAGAAGCCTGCCCAGTGGAAATTCAAAGCCCCTTCTGCTTATAACACCTCTAGAAAGCTATTTTAGATCCCAGAATAACACCGGCCCCAGACAAAGAAAATTGGGAGTTTTTTTTTCTTTAATTTTTGCTTTATTTTATTTTTTTTAAAAAGAAAACAAACTTTTTTTTCATTTTACACACCAATCCCAGTTCCCACTCCTCTCTTCCCATTCCCTCCACCTTCCCCCCATCCCGTCCCCTATTCACTCGAAAATTGGGAGTTTTAAACCAGCCAGTTCCTGTGCTGGAAACATGTCCTACCCATACATGACACACGTATATTTGGGACCGAAACACATGCCAACATCACAGGGCTCTCAGCCTGCTCTTGTCTATCGGTGAGATGGCCAAAGAGGGAGGTTTCTAACACCGCCCTTCACCATCCATTCTAGGATGGTTCTAACGTTCCCCTGGGTGAGAGTAGAGGTATTTTAGCTTCAATGTGATCTTGGGTGAGTTGCTTAATCTCTCTGAGCCGTTTCTTTACCCAGGTCCCTCTAGATATCACTGACAGTCCCTTTAGTTCCTCCACATGGCCTCTAAGAGCAGCGTCTCCCAAGGGTGTTCTGTAATTCCAGATATTCTGTCTGAGTTCACCCTGTGCCTGTCAAAGCCAGTAGGGCTCTGTGAGGATAGAGAGAGAAAGCTTAAGAATAGGGCTATGCTCCAGGCTGTGGTGGCACACACCTTTAATCCCAGCAGTTGAGGCAGAGGCAGGCAGATCTCTCTGAGTTCTGAGTTTGAGGCCAGCCTGGTCTATAGAGCTAATTCCAGGACAGCCAGGGCTACAGAGAGAAACTCTATCCTGGAAAAAAAAATGGTCTATGCAAAGAAAGATCTTAGGCAGGGATCAGTACTTAACATTTTCCCCATGAATTTAAGATGCAAAAAAAGTTGGCAGAAGGTTCTATGGGAGCCTGAGTCTTAGCATATCTTCAAACCATGCCTTTCTGTGCACCCACATTTAGAAGCAATTATCTTTAATCTTAGGCAGGAAGAATTCAGAGAGACTCTCCTAGAGAAACACGGGATGAAAAGCTATCTGTTCAGGTTTTAAAACAAAGCAGAAGTCTCCTTCACGTTCGTATCCGTGTACCGTGGTCATCCGGGGTGTGCCGAGAGGTTTAGTCATTGGCTTTTTTCACTTTCTCATTCACCGCGTGCTGCTTTCTGAGCAGGGCCTTGTCCTGGGCCAGGTACCGTGCTGTGCTGTATGGTGATCACTCAGCAGATTCACCTCTGCGTCACCATGAAGCTGTGAACCCAAGCCCTCACTCCACACACCGTTACTATTGGCACCTGAGAAAGTTGCCTAGCCTGCCCAGTCTCGATTCCCCATCCATAAAAGGAGCACACGACCTCCCTTTTGGTACTGCTGTGAGAACAGCTATCTGCCCAGTCTCGATTTCCCCACCTGTAAAAGAAGCATGTGACCTCCCTTTTGGTACTGCTGTGGGAACAGCTTTTGACAACAGGTGCAGAAGTCCTCAGTATGAGACTTAGACACATACAGGCTGGACACCCCTAATCCAAAGGGCTCCAGAATCTGAAACTTACTGAACACCAACATAATTCTGCAAATGGATCATTCCTCACCTGATCCCTATGGTAGGTCAGAGTCAAAAAGAATCACAAAACTGGTTTAAAGCATACCACAGATAATTGCTTTAGTGTATATATAACTGCTACATGTATAAGGGGAGACACAGATGCGTTTCATACTTAGACCTGGGTTCCATCCCTTAAATATTCAACCACTTGTGGTTCTCAGTATTTTGATTAAAGAATATACAGCCTGTATTACCTTTTCTCTATGGAAACAAAATCACCATCATTTCTAATAGTCAACAAGCAGTATTCTGTAGGTGAAAAGGTGTGCTGTCTGATGGCTCTTTCAGCCAGGTGGCCAGTGTCTCAGTGACTTCTCCATTATTTGCTGTTTAGAAAGCAGCTCACAACAGTTCCGAAAATGGCATCCTCCATACCAAGTCACGGCCACAGACTGAGCCATGGTCTCCAGGTTCCAATGGCCACAGGGACTGCAAGAGGCAGAAGCTGATCTTCGATGACATGTAAGTTTGGACCTTCTTAGTATGGCGAGGAAAGAAAGTATGATGTGGCTGTTTGCCTTTGTGTGATATGATAATTTAAATGTCCCTCTCAAGTGAAGCGCTAACTTAATGTGCACCCCTGAATAAGCAAGATCCCCAGGGCTAATGGAATTGATACTCAAAACCTGAGGAAAACTGCCCTAATGGGTCTTTTTTTTAAATTATGTATATATTTGTCCGGGTATGTGTCACATGAGCATGTGCGCTCATGGATCCCCCATAGCTACAGGCAATTAGCTGCCCAGTGTGGATCCTGGGACCAAACTCCAGTCCTCTGCAAGAGCAGAGCTGCTAAGCTGTCTCTCCAGCCCCTCCAGTGAGTCTTACATCTAAGGGTGTATATTATGAGATGTTGGTGACTTTGTGCGATCGGAGGGGGGAAAAAAAGTCCTTTTGGTTTTGTAAACTGTAATAGCAAAAAAATAATAGTGGTTTACTCCTGAAGGCTGTTTCCTCCCAAGATGTAGGGTCTTTGTTAACAGTGTACACAGACCTTATGTGGAAAAAGCAGCCTGGAATCCTTTGCCCACTTCTCCTGCTAACAACAGAATGCATCTTCCGTACCCACCGTCATTTTAAAGGGATAAAGGAGGGGATGGTGGCTAAGAATGTCCAACCACGCTCTTAGGAGGCTGAAAAATCCCAGTCAGAAAGGCTGAGATGATGCTGACGATCGTTTGGCCCCCAGGGAGAAAGCAGGTCAAGGAACACCTAGGAGGAGGGGATAGAGTTTCACGAGCTCAGCCTGAATCCTGCTGACCCCTTGTTAGCTGACCCACAAGCGTGTCACATATCTACGTGAGGCAGAATACCTGAAGTCTTTGGGGAACCTTGTGCAGGAGATTCCTGCCCTGCTGCTGGCTTCCATTCCAACTGCAGAGACAGACTACAAGCCCTAAGCCCAGAAGTCAAAATACTAACTGGTCTCAACATCTCTCAGTCCTCCTCAGAAGAAAATAATAGTATCAGTGACTACTATTGTGCTTCCCTCCTTCGGGGTATCACAGAAGACGCAGCATCTCGGGAGCATCAGGCACCATGCAGGAGCTATCACTCCCCTGCCCACTCTTTGACAGCCCTAATATAGACATGGGGTATTTCCTTCTCTTTCAGCTTCCCATATTGAGTCTTTTAAGTATTAATATCACTTTATACATCAACCAGGGCAGAGAGTTTGGGGGTTGGAAGTCAAATCCAAATCTTCGTGTCATTTAAGAAGCACATGCCAAGTTATCTCACTTTGGGGGATTACATGGACATCCACAAGGCCCAGGTCTCTTTCCATGGTTACTGCAGCTCCATGCCAACTCCATGCCCCTTCCTTAGCTGCTACCCCCTACCTCCGTTCACTTCCCCTTTGCTGAGCAGAATGACTGGTGCTCATTTGCCCTCAGGTCAGGTTAGGATTTTGTGCTGATGATTGGCCCTGTGAAATTTAGCCATTTTTGAAAACAGAGGCAACTAAAGTGATATTTAAGGGCATTGTGGAATTTGTGTTTTGATGTCATAGCTGATAATAGACATATTAGACATTGGGATGTTCAAAACACCAAACATCTCTGGGCTATGGTTTAGGGAGAGTGATAAAGATGAGAAAGAAACAAGAATTTATGAGAGAATTAATTCAATGACTACTTCAGTGTTCAAAACTGAAGACTAAGTCAGAAAGAGGAGCAACCGAATGGTTATACCAATCTGAAGTTTCTTGAATTTTTTAATAGGGGAAATTGTTTCTCAATATGTTCCCTGCCTATACCAATGGAGAGGCTCTGCCTGTTAGCAAGATGTGTAATTCTGGTTGCTGACTGTGCTGGGACTGTCTTCTGTTAGGGTATGGCACAATGAAATAGCAAAGCATTCTTAAATACCCATTACATGGAGAGCTGTGGACACTTGCCCCAAATGATTTGAAATCTCTAGTAGTAAAATACACATGTAATTTAAACAGTCACTGATCTAGAAAAAGCTGTGTGAAGAGTTTTGTTTGTTTGTTTTTGTTTTGCTTTTTGTTTTTTTTAAGACAGGGTCTTTCTGTGTAACAGTCCTGACTGTCCTGGAACTCACTTCGTAGACCAGACTGATCTCGAACTCACAGAGATCCTCCTGCCTCCGCCTCCTGAGTGCTGGGTTTAAAGGCATGCACCACTACTGCCCGTGGGACAATCTTTAAAACCCAAAGGCAAAGAACCAACATTGTCTCTTCCTTTAAACCATAAAAATAGCTCTCCCTCAAGAGATCAGAGTCACTGACATATGCAAAATGTCGTGCATGTCTCGCTGCGGTATTAAGTGCCTACTGAGCATCAGGCACAGGCAACAGCTAGGATATGATGGATTTGTTCGCCATAATCCTACAGTCAGGAGAGAAAAGCACATGGATGGGACCGCTCCTGTGACCACTAGAGCCACACTTCCTCCTCTTCCCACTTTTTCTCATCACCCTTCTTTTCCCCTTCCTCCTTCCTGTCCTCTTTCTCCTACCCCACTTTTCTTCCTTCCCTTCTGTCATAATTTGCTTCAACTTGACTCACCTGGAAAGAGGAAACCTCAACTAAGCAATTGAGAATGGCCTGTGGGTGTGTCTTGAATGCCCAGCCCACTGTGGGCGGTACCATCCCTAGGCAGACAACAACAAGAAGCCTCTTCCTGCCCCACGTGGCTTTTTCTGTCTTTTCCTTCCCTCCTCACTTTCCCCCTGACAACGTCTGCCCTGACAGCCTCCTTGATCAAGAAAGTCCTCGGCTCCCGTCACTTTCCTTGGCTTATATTCACGGAGGGTGACAACAAGCATGGAGAAGAACAGAGAAGCTGCCAGAACAAGGGAAAGGGCCAGCTCATTAGGACCAGAGCAACTGAGGAGCTGGTAGAGAGCCAGTTAGAGTGATCCAGAGAGGACCAGATGCCAGGCTGTCATTTGGTTCTTAAAGCTGCGTCGTGTAGCTTGAAAGAAAGGAAGGAAGGAAAGAGAGAAAGAATGAAAGAAAGAAGCTCATCCTTTTGTATTATAAATACTTGTTAATGGTTGAATAAACATGCGATTCCGACAACAACTGAATCCACCAGGCTGTCAAGAATGAGCACTGAATAAACAGGGCTGAATTATAAATTACCCTTCCCAGGGGAAGCCCTGGATTTTTTCTTATCTTTCTCTTTCTCCATGAACCTGCATGAAAGTCCGTTTAAATTCCTGTTCTTACACATCTCCTGTGTTTCTTACCAATTAAGCCCCAGTTAGTGCTTTGGGGATGCAAATGAACCTAAGGGGCTAACACTCACTTCAAAACTGGAATCAAGGTCGGCTTGTTCTTGGTAAGCTGCAAGTGCAGACCAGCGGCTGTGCTGATCCTCCTCCCCTGACATTCAGCAGAAGCATGAAAAGCGTGACAGCTACTACTCCACAGCCTCCGTAGGAAGGTGGCACCGGCGTGATTAACAGACTCTTCCTTTAAAAGACAAAATCTGTGAGAATTTATGTCAGGGAGTGGCGACGCTCGCTTCACCGCGCAGCTCAGGTACGGGTCTTATTAGTACCAAGCCGTGAGCTATATATTATTTGGTGTCATAATTAGTGACAAGGGAGCTTTGGCCAAGGAAAATTGAGAGGGATCTGGGATGGGAAGCCTCCGTCCAGGAGTCCCGAATTCACGGAGCTAAGTGGTAAAGGGCTTGGCGGCGTGAAATAAAGCCTGGCTCCCGCCAGCCATATTGCTGCGTTGGAAGCCAGCGGGGCTGGAGGCCAGCACTGCCTGCTGCTTGCTGAAGGATGTGCTGTCCCCTGCCCATATTTCACATACAAGAGACAGTCACGACCAGAGCAGTCAGCCAATCCACCAAATGTCCCATCTGTCCCCACGACACCAATAATAGGAGCGGAGCTACCTAACCCTCGGGGCACGGAGTGGAGACTCCCTGGGACACACAGTGCTGAAGACCGTGAGCTTGTAAAATGTGAGTGGGAGGAGGGGTGGGCACTTGACATTTGTAATGCAATTATGTGCAGCAGTCTCCTTGCTAAAAGGATTTTAATTTTATAGAGGACGGGAAGATTCCCGTATATGAGAGGTTGAATCTCCTGCAGCATGATTTAATCAAAGGAAGCCAACCAGAATTTTTGCATAGGCCGTGTGAGAGCCAGGCAGGGCGATCTGGGGACCTTTCCATGGCACTGTTGTTTTGGGGGAGACCCTTTCCTCATTGCTGCAAAGCTGGACCCCCTCTTTTTGTTCCTAAGGAATTATTTCCATTGTGAATTCCCTTTCTCGGGCTAGGCCCTTATTTTATTTTGGCCAATGGAAAAACAAAAAGAGAAACTCCAGGTGGGAGGAGAAGGACATCTCTCTCTTGATGAAATCTTCAGGCTTTGCTGTAATCGGTCATTTTAAATGTCCAACCCAGAGAGTAATAACACTGAGGCTGATGATTCTCCATTTCAATAAAAGTTTCTTAAGTGATTAAAAGCTTGCCTCCCTTAGCCAGCACAACTGAGTCCTGTGGGGAGCACGAGGAAGGCTCTCCTCTCCTGAGAAGCCAGGGTCCAGGCACTTAGAGTTCCAGTGCACGTCAAGGTTGTAGGAATGAAAGCTGCACCCGAATCCTTGTTGCTTACACACCATCTACCTGCATCCGCAGGGGTGTGTGCAGACAGCCAACATTAGCCCCTGGGAGTCCCCCTGTCCTCAAACACCCCCCCCCCCGCTGCCAATAGTGACTGCTGGAGGGGGACAGGTGGCAGAACACTCGCCCAGCGTGCATGAAGCCCTGGGTGTGACCCCTGGTTCTGCAAGCTAGCACTACCAAGCAGCTGTGTGTGAAAAAGAACTATTTAACCCCTTCCATGGTCAGTCTCCTTTTGGAACAAGCGCTTCAAGGCTGAGGGCACAGTCACACCCTGAGGTGTTACAGTGTCACATCAGCTGACATTGGCAGTATCAGACGAAAATTCCTTGGCTGTCATGGTTTCTGCTCCTCTGTCTGATGTGGATTTCAGTTTCTCCAAGCAAACCTTGTCCCGCTCGCTCCACACCCAGGAACCTGTTTGTTCAAACACAGCGAGCTCTCATCCCTGCCAGTTTGCACAAAACATACTTGCTCTGTGGAAGGACGGCCTTTCAGAGAGGTAGGAATTACAGAAAGCAGCGTGCCAGCTTCTCCATGGGAGACCATTCATCTCTCTCTCCCCCTCAGCCACGAAGGAGAACAAAAAGCGAAGGCTGCTTCTAAAGCTCATGTGCGAGGAGATCTGTCAGGTCCCTCGCACCCTGCGGCGGCTCGGAGCCAAGGCCGCATGTTTGTAGGTGGCGGTGGTGGAAGAAAGGGAGGAAAGAAAGTGTACCGTTCAGATCCAGTACACCGATGGCTTTCGTTACCGAGAACTCTCAGAACAAAGATGCACATGGCTGTGCACCGGCTCTGCCATCAGCCAGTTCTGATTTCTGTGGCCCACTGGACGCAGTTCCGTTCACAACGTTTAATTGCACTTTTTTTCACGTGCCCATGGCCATCGTGAAGTACTATGAAAAATAATGCGAGCGGTAATATTGCAGAAGTTTAAAAACTCTAGATTTCCCACGTAAAAGCAGATTCAGTGGAAAATCCATTTTATACTGAGATGATGAGGTTTTATTTCAAGAACCTTTGATATATTAGATTCTGTACCTGTGACAGCGGTGAGGGCAATTTCATTTTTCCTTCTGACTTGTATATGGCTGTAGAAAGCAATGCCTTCGGGTTAGTGTGCATCCACAGCCACCCTGGACAGTCTGAGTGAGTGGCATCCCAGTGGTCCCAATGACTTTATAATGGCCTGATTTAAGAGCATAGCAGTAGAAATCACCTGAGAGGAGAAAATGGGCCAATCTTTGGGCAATTTTCAGTGCTTAGTACAGTGAGCCCTCCATTATATGCAAAAGGGATTCTAACAAGCGTGTTTGTAAATGGTCCATGGATGGCACCGGGTTTTCTTTTAGCGTGGCAGGTTACTGTTGTAGCTGCCAGAATCCGGTCAGCAAATGGGATGAGTTCCTTACCTCCAGGCACTGCTGTGTGTCTGTGACTCAGGCTCCGTATCAGGCTTGGAAAGCACATTCCTGTGCTGCAGGTAAGAACAGCATTGTTTGAAGAACCCGTATTAGGGGCTATCGGCTACCACCACCTCGAAGAGTAACTTAGAAAGCCTGTGAAGTCTAAGATGGCATAGCTTATGACCAAAAGAATTTCTTTCCCATGAGAATAAAATGCATTTAAAGTGACAATCTTATAGTGGTGAGGTCTACAAAACAGGACACACGGAAAAGGACCAAACTTGGATACTAGAGTGTAGAGCAGATAATGATGTGAAGAATTTCAAGTTGCCATGGAGACAGTCTTCGGCTCATTGGCCATGATGCTGCACCCTCTCAGAAGGCACCACTCTCCCCTAGGCTCGGAAGAAATTCAGTACGATTCGAGGATTACCGTAGGCTGGAGAAGAATGCAAAGGTCACCAGCATGATTGCTGCTGAAATGTGCCAGGGACCAAGCTGCCCCATGCCGTAACTGTAGCGCTGTGGACATGGAAGGTAATTAATTACCCACAATGTATAGAATAGCCAAGTTCTCTGTGACGTGGGAAGGACCGGGAGAAACATAGGTGACGCTCCTAGGAACTGTTCCTGGCAATGGTCAGACTTCGTTCCTGATAAGATTTGGTGAACACTCAGTGAATGAGCAGAGAACAGACTATTCCAGACAGGGGAAAGGAAGAGCAGGGCTACCAAACAGGAGCGGCATGCCATCAAAATTAATTGAACTGTCCCAGATTTTACTCGGCATCCCTGGTGAATACCTAACCTGAGCTAAGATTTGACCTCAGAAGCCCCAGAGATTGATTTGGGAACTGGAGACACAACAGAAACTGTGTTTGGAGTTGAACCCTAGAACCTAGAACCAGAGTTGATAAAAGCCAGCTTGGAAGGTACATCTTTAAGAAAAGAAGAATGCTTAACAGGAACCTGGACACATCTGGCAACAAGAGAGAGAAGTGAAAACTAATCCCTCCTCAGCTGTAGGCCCTGGGATCTAAGGCTCAGCAGTCAGTCTAGGCTTAGACTAGAGGTGAGCTCTGATCGTCTGTGTTGGGATGGGAAGCCAAAGAGCAAACGCGGCAGCACACCCGTTCCTGCTGATGCTATGACAGCAGATGCATGTCACGACTCAACAGTAGACCGTGGATTTTTGGATGTCATGACTCCAAACCTGCAGGATCACAGCCATCTAGAAATGATCCCTAACCCACAGACTTCTGATTGTCACCACTGGCTTGTCACTTTGAACCATTACACTTGTGTCACTTCGGGATGTTGGTAATGAAGGAGGTTGTACTTACTTGGGGCAGGGTATTCATGGAAACTGCATAATTTCTGCTCAGTCTTACTGTGACTCTAAAAATGCTCTAGGAAATGTGTTTGAAAGCGAAAGCAAGCAAGTAGTAATGGCGAAAATTGCCAAAATTTGAATCAGTAAGTATGTAGCCAAAGACTGTCAAGGCATCTGAAAAGCCGTTCAAGTGGAGTTGTGGGTCCCTCAGCGATGCGCTCGAACAGCAAAGGTGGAGGCAGCAGGCCCGTTTTACTGAGGAAACCTTCAGCCACACCAGACACCCATCAAGGGGAATGGAAGGCTGTGGACCTGCATGGGAAGGAGAATGGGGAGGGAGCAGTTGCCCACAGACAGACAGTTACGTTCGGGAGACCGTGCGGTTGTGTTATCTCTTCTTTGTGGTGACAAACCAACACGTCAGTCCCAGTAGGCTGCCACAACTCAGTCAGTATTTGTAGAGAAAAAGAGGCTGGACACGAGGTCCTTTTGTTGTTCTTTCCCATGGTTTTTGACCCAAAACTTATTATTAGTTTTGATCCTGAGCTTTGTTTCTCACTTTGACGAATAAAATGTCATGTTTTGGTCAACCCGCGTTTATTGTCATAGCACATTACTGTTTCTCTAGGCATTCTGATCTCTTTGAATAAAGGAATGTTCTGATTACCTGGTATTCCAATGAGGTAAATGACCCATTAGAATCTAAAACAAGACAGTTTAAAATAAGCGTATCATAATAGGTTAAACAGTCCATGACTAATCTCTCTGGTGACATCCTATCCCCTGGTTGGTATCTGCTGTTTATGAGTAGGTCAAGTTTATTGATTACCTAACACACAAAATACAAAGAAGTTTATGCTGATGGCGTCTAAAGGATGTGAAAGGTTTTTTTTTTTAAATTAATCTATTAGACAACATTTTAAAGGCACCGACCGATGATGAGTGGCTTAGTGTGACTTAGGGTTGTTGTGCACATTCAGATCGGTCTCAGGACAAATTACCCTCATCTCCCAGAAGAGTCGGCGCTGGCCAGGGTTATTGCTTTAATAATACACATGTCTAATGCTCCTGTTTACCAGCGAACTAATCAGCACTCTGGAGGATACATGCCGTGTTTGCATTGTTACAAGGTAGACATCATTTTACAATTAACTTCATTACAACTGAAACATAATCATACTCCATCACAGTTCTTGGGTTTTCACTGTGAGGCTTTAAGACAATTAACTATATGTGCACACAACTCTAGGTACTATTTATGCATATAAACGGCACACGCATAAGAAAAGATAAATACTGTCACTCATACATTTCTGTGAGATGATTACGAGATATATTTGCAGTTCTTAAGTTAAAGGGGAGTGGTTTTCTGTAGAGACTATGCAAAATAAGAGTTTTTCACTCTTTTCTTATCCATACAGTAAAAAAAAAAATCTTATTCACAAATTAGGCACTAAGGGACCACATTAAAGCAACTATAAATATAGACTATCTACATGTATTGAGTGGGTTTTGAATTGCTAACTTAGGAGAAAAATAATGTATTTTGTATACAGGCTGTAATTTGAAAGTGCAAAAAGTATACATGACTCCATATTAAGCAGAGTTTTTAAATTGTGCCTTATGTTTGAATGAAAGAGAAGCATATTTTCAACAGACCTTGCACTTAAGCAATAATGGCATCTAATATTCTCTCCTTGTAGGCCTCGTAGTGCAGATTATTTTATGCAAGAAGCTAAACGGATGAAGCATAAAGCAGATGCGATGGTGAGACCCTTTTCTTTCCAGATTTGTTCGTCTAAATTGTGTTTGTACTGCAGCTTTATCGCTGGGGCAATACAGCCGGGGTAATTATAAAATCTATTACAAGGGTGGCTGGGCCTGCTAAATGGGAAGATGTTTATATAATCAAAGGCTCATAGCCCAATAAATTATGACTTCACTCGGTAATGTCGAACTGGAAGAAAGCCCTGGATAAATGAATATTTCTATTTAGTCTCAAGGTTTGAATAGTAACCAGAACCAGTGGAGTCAGTGGGCAGAGCTATTAGAAATAAATTGAATTTGCATTTTCCTCTCTAGCTGGCCTAGCTGGCTCTTCCTTGGCTCAATCCCACAAATCTCTTTTCAGGATGACTAGTGTTCCCTGTGTACATCTGTGTAACATGGCGGGGGGGCTGCTTGTTTGTTGGGGTTTTCTGTCCCGCCCGGCACCCCAGCTATTTAGTCCCAGAGAAAAACCACATAAAGATCTCTATAAGTTATAAAGCTGATTGGCCCATGAGGTAAGGCTTCTTACTGGCTAACTCTCATATCTTGATTAACCCATTTTTCTGATCTGTTTTAGCCATGTGGCTCAGTACCTTTTTCAGTGGGGCAGATCATATCCTGCTGCTTCGGTGATCTGGGTAGGAGTGGGAGGAATCAACTTCCTCCTTCCCAGAATTCTCCTGCTCTCCTTGCATCATTTCCACTTCCTATCTGGTTTTCCCACCTATACCTCCTGCCTGGCCAATCAGCGTTTATTTAAAACATGATTGACAGAATACAGACAATTCTCCTGCACCACATCTGCCCAAAAGGAGTGCATGCCCTGATGTGTACAGCATAGACACCGTCACCCACACTTAAACCTTAAGGTCGACATGACTTGATCTTTGCGAAGGATAGCTTTTCTGACTTGGGTGATCTATTTTGGAGACCTTAAGGATTTCGGGCAAGAAATAGACTTTTAGTTTGTTTGGTTTGGGTTTGTTTGCTTTCTTAGATCACACAGTAGTTTCACCAGGGCTCTCCCAAATGGATGCCTTTTTTCCCAAAAATTCTAGTCCTCTTCTCCTTCAGATTCATAGCAAAGATCAGTCAGGGGTCTGGAGATAAAGGTGATATCTCAGATACCTTTCAGAATGTGAGTCCAGTGAGAAAGATACTAAATCCTACCAGCTGCTCTCCCAGCGTGCCTGACGCTGCCCACCACACAGTTAGCACCTAACATCAACTGCCAGGGAACGCTGGGGTCATGTGGACATGGCCAGTGAATATCAAAAATAGAGACAGTTGCATAGGACAGCTCTCGTCCACACAGCCCCACAATCCCAAGGTCATCCAAAGAAGCTGATGTGTGGATCTCTGTGTCTTCAGTACCCTGTTATTTTAAAAAAAAGAAAAGAGAGAGAGAGAGAGAAGAAGGGAAGGAAGGGAAATAATTAATACATGGCCACTTTTTGGCAAAAACATTACACTTTTAAATCATCGTTTTAAATATGGTGAGATTTGCTACCTGAAGCCGTCATCCAAGGCTTCCTGGCTCTATTCACCTAACTCCATCTTGCCCAACTCTACCTTCCCTATCCCTTGGCAGCCTCTCATCATACCTCGTTCATGCCAGCCCACATGTCTGTTCGCTCACACGATCACACCCACACCCTCAGTGTCCTCCCCAGATCCAGCCAAGTCATTCAGTTCCTCCCTCTATCATCTCAGTCTCCTGCCTGAAGCCTCCCTCCCCCACTCTCTCCCTCCCATCTTGCATTAGACTCCTCTGTCTGTGTTCCGTCCATCACAGACTGCCTTGTGTATTGAACTCTCCTGTGGTGTACAGTTTTTGCTTTCTAAATGTCTTATGCGTCCCTGGAAGGAGCTTTTGTGAATCAAGTACATGTACCCCAAAATTAAGTGCTTTAGAATGAAATTAGTTCCTTAACAGCATTGCCATTGCTATGACTTACAAGTGTTAAAACTTTTATTCATTAATGAGTAAAAATTTGTTTATTAATTTTCTTTCAAGACAGGGTTTCTCTGTAGCTTTGGGGCCTGTTCAAGAACTAGCTCTTGTAGACCTGGCTGGCCTTGAACTCATAGAGATCTGCCTGCCTCTGTCTCCTGAGTGCTGGGATTAAAGGCGTGCACCACCACCGCCGCCTAGCTATTTAATTTATATTCATTTTCAAAGAGGTATCATTGTTAATGAAAGTTGGTGATGTATTTTTATATTTATTTGTGTTTGTAGTAGGACTGAGAGTAGTTAAGAGTAGGGATGTGGTTTGTTTCTTTGATGAACAAGTCATGGGGAAACAGAGGTGATTCTGCAAGGTGAGAATATGCGACTTTCTAGAGCAGTGGTGTCTAGAGCCAGAGCCTCTGTTTGTAGCTCCAGGCTTGGGAGAACTCGGGACTGCACATCCGACTCGTGACTGCTGCAGAGACAGCACCGACAGCGACACCTGGCCTTTCCAGGTGTGTCCAGCTGAGTGGGCTGTGTTGCAGTTTCTGTGTTGAGTAGCATAAATATATGCAGTGTGGAGAACCCCAGGAGTCGTTCTTGTGGTTGAGTTTCAGCTCTGGGTCGTGTTTTGTGAAAGTGAAATATAGAACCTTAAGTAAATCTCCGTTCATCCCTTCTCAGTCTTCCCTTTCGTGGGGCTCTGTGAATAGTGATGCACGTGGGGACACGGAGTCCCAGATAACATGAGGCAGTGGTCAAGGCCCTGAGCCATCATCGTTGAGGCTGGAAAAAGCAGGCATGGAAGCCCAAGTGTGGATCCAGACCTGTGAACTTGGACACACGTCTAGCGCCAAGGGAGAGGACAGGGAGTGAATTTGCCAAGCCACTGGGGAGAAGGAAACGGAGCTTGGCAAAGTGGAAGGAAGGTGTCCCGTGAATTCTCCACTCTCTTGCCTCACTAGAGTGGCAATCTGAGCAAATAACTAGCAAGGATTTACACTACGTCCCTTTCATCCAGGGGAGGTGGGCCCCAAGCTCCCATAGCATGTCCTGAGGCTGCAGATGGCTCAGAGATTTACACACTGTTTCATATACATGCGTGTCTCTGATATACAGCTAAGCACAGGAAGACACTAACAGTAACTAGTAACTGATAATGATGTAGGACATTAATAGAGAGCTGTGATAATAAAATGTATAAGCTCATGAATTATTTATTTCTGGAATTTTCCTCATAACATTTTCAGACCTTGCTGACCACAGGAACCTGAAACCATGGGAAGTGAGCTATGGATAGCAGCAAGGGCTACATAGCTATTTCTTCTTTCTTTTTTTTTTTTCTCTCAGCTCCATTTCACGGGGTTTTGGAGCTCAAAAGTTGGGTTTCTCAAAGCATATAAACTATATGGCGATGCCCCTTGTTTAAATAAACAAAACAACAAATTAAAAAAACCTTCTATTAAGGAAGACACCTCTGATTGTGTTGTCAGGTGGAGAAGTTTGGGAAGGCCTTGAACTATGCTGAAGCAGCCTTGTCCTTCATCGAGTGTGGAAATGCAATGGAACAAGGCCCAATGGAATCCAAGTCTCCGTACACCATGTATTCTGAGACGGTGGAGCTCATCAGGTAAGTCTGCTTCCGGCAGAGCTGTGGGGGAAGCAGGAAGGATATACTACATATGGGGAACACTAAGAAAAGAACCGCAGCCTGCAGTATCGGCCGCTGGGGACCAGTGTTCATTTCCTAAAATAAGAATAGGGAGGGACTTACGACTTTCACGTAGTGTGCCTCCCTATTTTCTGTGTGAGGCAAGGCGGGCGTCCCCTGCACAAAGCCTCCTTGACTATCCGAGAAAGGGGCAATGTCAGAGTGAGCTGGGACGTGTCCTCTCAGCTAGGAAGTGCTAGGTGTGGAACTCATACTATCTAAGCTGCTTGGAAATTAGAAGTCAACAGGGACTAAAGTGGAGATAAAAGACCACGGTAGAAGAGTTGCCCAGCCGCACAAGCTGCTGCGTTCAGTCCTCACCATTCAAATGCATAAATGTGTTCATTCATTCTACCTCTTAGAAGGGGTGAGGAAAAGATAATCATAACATCATTCTAAAATGTGTAGTATACTTAAAATGCAAAGAAAAACCTGCCTGCAATTCACAACCCCTAGACAACAAAGAGGACCCTAAGAGAGGCATACGTGGATCTAATCTACATGGGAAGTAGAAAAAGACGAGATCTCCTGAGTAAATTGGGAGCATGGGGATCATGGGAGAGGATAGAAGGGAAGGGGGGAGGAAGGGAGGGGAATGGAGAAAATTACATAACTCAATAAAACAATAAAAATGTGTAGTATACCTAAGTAGATGTTTCTCAGAAGAAAACATATAAATGGACAATCAGAGTATCACTTAGCAACAGGGTATTAAAACCAGAGGCAGACCCTGGTAAGTAGTCTGTGCTTGTTAAATATTTGAGGTTAAGTAGCCAAACCATGGGGCCTACAGTGAATGTCAGTGTCATGTTCTGCTTAAAGACTAAAAAAAAAACATGAACAAATAAATCATAACCACGTCGAAAGCCCATCAGACACACAGGATGCAGATGTGTCACACTCTACATCCAGGGACACAGGCCACCTTGTCCAGACAGAGAACGCAGTTCAGAATGAGTGAATCCCCACACTGCACAGAAAATGCAGACAAGGAGAGATTTCCCTACCTGCAGGACGACTGTGGCTAGCTAAGGATAAGATGTGCTTCAGAGCAGCTCCGGGAAAGGTTGCTTGGTTAACATTCTCACTAAAAAAGAAAAAAAAAACAAATTAAAAGATGATGTGATAACCTCCCTGGCTTCTCGGTATAGAATGGGAATATGTATCATAATGTCAGCTGGTGCCCCATAAAATGTAACTAGTTATGCAGTCTTAATAAGGAGAAAGCCAGCTATATGACTATGGATTTTGTAAAAGGGATGCTTGTTATTTTTCCACTTAAATCTGTGTCTTACCCGTCAGACCTGGCTCTCATCTCCCTAACCAGGAGACACGGGAACCAGGAGCAGGAGCAGCGGCATCTCTCTCTACAAGTGAGAGACTCCCTGTCTCTCAGGGCCCCAGAGGGCAAAGGACCGTGACCAATTCATGAGAACAAAGCCACCTTGAGATTCTCACCCCTGCGCACTGTTTTGTTGGGAATTATATTCCCAGCCCGTGTACTTCCAGGTCACATTCCAGCTATAGCAATCGTAATCACAGAAGATCCAATTTTTTTTTTTCACTATCACTAGAACCCCAGAATGAGAGGAAAAGAGAGTGGGGCAGAAAGCGTATTGGAAGACATGCTGGCTGGAAATCACTGAACTTGTCAAAGGACAGGTTCAAAAAGCCAGGAAAGAGCCAACTAGGACACACTTAAAGAAGCACATACCAAGTCACAGCATAGCAGCATGTGACAACAAACCCACAATCCTGGAAGTAGCCAGAGAGAAAAGGCATGTTGTCAGTAATAAGACCACTTCCGAGGACAGCAGTGGTGTCCTCTCTAGGGCAGGAGGGAGTGTGCTGGTCTCCAGGTACAGAAAGAAGGGACTGTCTGGCATTAGGTCAGGCTGACACAAGTAAAGAGGAAGGAGGAATCCCCTGATTTCCCTCTCGTGTTCTCAGAGCATGAGGGGAGGGTTGGAAGGAAGGCACAACAACACAGCAACAAAACCAAAAACAAAACAAAAACAAATTTTATTTGGAAAATACCATCATGTAACCTAATTATTGTAAACTAATAAAAAAAACAACTAAACTAAAAAAATACTATTTTAAAACCGAGGGAACGTCTCAGTAAAAAGGGGAGAGTGGAGGAAGCGCTCTCGGCGTGCCTAGGAGGAAAGAGCAGAAGTGTGACTGTGTACACAGTAAACGGTTCCTTCCAGGGAGTTTCGTAAATCATATTTGATGGGTGAAACAAAATTTATACCAGCATCTGGTACTCAAGATAATATTTTATAGAAGAAGGGGCAGTAAAGGCTTCTATGCTTCAGTCAGACTGTAGGTCACACAGGCAGGGTTTTATCCAGGGTGAGCACTGGGGAAGCTGCAGAGGGATGCACTTGGGACCTAGAAACCTACCGCAGGAGGATGGCATTGCTGTTTCAGCCGTTTTCAGCAAAGCACGTGTTCCGCCAAGCGCGTCACGCTCTCCCTCTTAACCTGCACTCTCTGTGACTGGTGGGTTAGTCTCACTTTACAGATTAGGACAAAGACACTGAGATGTGAATACATCTGTCTGAACTCTCTGAGTAGCTGAGATGGGACTTTAATCTGGGACCCGGTCACCATTGCACACAATGCCTCCCTCGCCTCTCAGGATTCTGAGGAGGTGCACAGATAATTCATTGAGAGGAAGCAGTGCCCACAGTCCTCCTACTCCAAGAAAGACACTTGCTTCTCAAAACCCTTGTCAGTACACAGAAAACTAGACAGGAACACGTGTTGCAGACAGCTACCCTGTCATCAGTTAAGAGCTTCGTGTAAGCAAGTCAAAGTAAATTAAGCATCCAAGTACCAGGGTGAGCTTCACCTGCGTTCTCGGTGACTCGGCAGAGATGAGATGTAGGAAAGCGGACGCTTTACCATGCTGACGAATGGCTCTTGGGCATGTAGCACTCAGAAGAGTTTGCCCTGTGTCATTAACAAGTGGAAAATGGCACCACCTTATGAAAGTCCTCCCCAGTCACCCCAGTAGGGCCGTCAACTAGCCTTAACACACTATGGACGCCCACGTATTGGGGCCGGAGAGCTGGCTCTGTGACGAAGAACACCTACCCCTTCTACGGAGGACCCGCATCCCAGGCCCAGAACTCGCATTAAATGGCTCACAACCACTTAGGACTGGAGCTCCAGGGGATCCAGCACCCGGTTCTGCCCTCCATAGGCCTCCACACTCACACATACCCACGTGCAGACACACACATGTGCATAAATTTTAAAAAAGGAACAGAACATGTAAGTGTGGGGTGGAGAGAGACCGTCATAGGAGAGGTTCCGTTGATAGCCAGAAAGGACTTTTAAATTTCTTGACTTTTTTTATTTTTATTTTTTTTTAAGGTATGCGATGAGACTAAAAACCCACTCAGGCCCCAACGCTACGCCAGAGGACAAACAGCTAGCCGCGCTTTGGTAAGTCTATCCCCAGCTCTGCAAGCAGGGAACCAAGCTCCCTGTGTGTCCAGACACCTCTAACCCGCTAGTCCCCAGCTACTCCAACAGCCAACAGGTCCACTTTTCACGGCAATACCCTAAATACAGTGACCAGAGGAACAGGGCGTGAGTCGTGTCCCTCGCCAGTCAGGGCAACCGAAAACAGCAAGCTCCCTGGTTCAGAGAAATAAAGTGAAGAATAATAGACACCCAGTGTTGACCTCTGGCCTCTACACGTGCATGGACAGACACGCACACACACATGTACACATATGCACACACATACCCATGTAAAAATATAAGTGAAACCAAGTAGGTCCCCCCTCATTCATTTGAATGAGATTTTTTTTCCTGTGTTTAACACTTTAGATGCAGTCAAAATCATTGGCGAGTTACTTTGCATGCCAGATCAGTATGTACGGATACTCACAATCCATTAGAGTTATCGATACACTGAACTGAGGGGCAGCTCGCTATACTTAGATAATAAAATCATTTCTTTCATACTGGCTAATGGGTAATCGATCTTCCTGTGCTTCGGACTGCAGTAATACAGACTGTGCAGTGGTAACTCCCCGCGAGATCTGCTCTGAAGGCCCCATCCCATCCCTCACATTGAGACCCCTCCTCTCTGGGTCTCTCCCAGCCTTGTCCATGTAGCCAGTGTTTTGTTCTTGGCAGGTTCACTGAGCTCAAGATCTAATCTGAGAGATAGAAAATCAAATGGAGTCTCAGACAGCATAACAGCCACATCAACACAAGAGAGTCTCGAGCTGTTTGACATAATTTCATCTGGAGTCTGAAGTGCTAGCGAGCTGGATCAGGTTGTGCTGGGCTTGTTCGAATTCTAGCACGTCAATACCTGATCTCAGCCGGGGAAGAATTACGAGTGAAAAGCACGGGAGACGAGAGAATTAGTCTCGGGAAAATGCTAAATATGCCCTTTTCTTTATTGGAGTACCATGATGGGACTAATAAATTGATGGCAATTAATAATTAATGTTGGAATATAAGTTTGATATAAATAATTATACAGAACATTGTAGAAGATAGGCGAGCGTAACTAGCCTTAGATTGGTACTTCTGTTGTTTGCAGTGCGCTTTATTTGAACTCATTACAATCTAGTAAAGCGTTAACAAGCAGAGGTAATAAAAATCTGTGAAATTGCTGTCCTGTCTGCGAAGCCAATAGCTCACCCTATAAAGCGGCTCTGTGCTAGCGCTCCCTCGGCCTCTCATGGAGAGAGACTGCCCTCTGGTGGCGGGAGGAGAAAGCAGCCTGACCCTGTTCCCAACAAAGAGCTCTGGAAGCTGTTCTTAGGCATCTGGCGGTAAATGTGTGTACAGAGACCTCTATAGATTTTGAATTATGCTTTTTGAACAAAAGGAGCATCAGATACTCGTACATATACTTAATATGGGAACATTTGAGGTGTGTAAGTGTGATGGAAATACTGGGTTGAAAATGACAGGACTTGTCACGAAGCTTCCCTGCAAAGGTTACATACATGTCCCCTGTTCTACTGCAGCTACCGATGCCTGGCTCTCCTATACTGGCGGATGTTTCGACTCAAAAGGGACCACGCTGTAAAGTATTCGAAAGCACTGATCGACTATTTCAAGGTACTGCCTGGAAAATAAGCATCGTGGTTGCTTGTGCTGCTCGGTCTCCCTGACAGCTCTCTGTGAGAGGCCTCGTGCAACCCATTGCATTGGGGCTAAACCCGCCATCTCTGTTCTCCAGAATCACCCCATTTATGACATGCTGTGGCTTATTGGGCTCAGAGAATGGGCCTTGAGAGCCCAGCTAATTTGTCCCCCTGCCTTCATGTCCTTATTTTTACAACCTGTAAACAAAGAGTGTCCAGTTATTCACCCCCAGTGACCTGGGCATTGGTCCTTAAGGCAGCTATAATTCTTTATGTCTACATAGAATTCTTGGAAGTAACTACTGAGACCCACTCCCCTTAGTCTCTAGGAGCTTATTTAATCTTTGATGCAAATGTTATTTTTAAAAATAGGAAATGGCTTGTTATAGCTCAGAGACCTTTGATAGCAGTGTGGAATGATAGGGATTGAATCGCAACCATGGCAACTTTTTATCTCAGAGAATGAAATTCTTTTCACTAGAAGACTACAAAATAAACAAACAAAAACATCTTTTGGATATAGCATTGCAAAGTGATCCTGAAGTCAATCATTCATTCAAAATGTCTGGGCTTCTTCTCTGTGTGAAATGACACCACCACTGTCTCCACCACCCCTTTATCGCACACAAGCACATGGCCATCCTTTTCAATCCTTTATCACCAATCTACACACCTCAGAGACCGGCCAGATGACCAGGCTGTGTCTAGTGCCCTACCAGCTTTCTAGTTGACTGCCGCTGGGCACCCCTGGTCACCGCGGACATGAGATCCGGCATGGAGATTTTCCTTACCAGGCATGGCGGGCTTGTCTGTGATCCCAGTGCCCTGGAGGCAGAGTCAGGGGAAATCATTGCAAGATCCAGGCTACTTGGTCTACATGGCAAGTTCCAAGCCAGACACACACACAGAGTGAGGCCTATCTCAAACACACATGCGCACATGGGGGAATGGTTTTCAGGAACTCGGAGTCTAAGAGATGAATTACATGACAAAGCAAAAACAAAAATGCTTGACTAAAGAAGGACACTGAATTCTGTGACCCAGCTTTTAAGGAATCAAGAATAGTTGTTCATGTTTGTATCCAGTCCAAAAGTAGGAACAAAATGGATAAAAGAACAGAACAGTAAATCAGATTCTGTTACTTGAGTTATTGGCATTTGCGTTCCATCAGTCCTATGTTTTGAAGCATATTTTGAGTGGCAGATTGTATTATTAATAGTGTACAATGCGATGCTTTGATGTATCGTACACCTGGGCCCGTTAGATGGCCCCAGCTGGAGCATGCGTTCATCATCCCGCCTCTTAACCATCTCCATGATGGGAATATCTCAGATCCGTCCCTTTCTTACAGTTCTGACCACGTGCTTTTAGTGGATCTCCAAGACATGTCCTTCATGTTGAAGCTTTGTACCTAGTAGGTGCCCTTGGTTCCAGACTTCAAAGACCATTTAAATACTGATGGAGGCCAGAAGCCTTGGGGTTACAGTTATCATTTGACTGTGGAGAATATGCCTTAGCAGTACATAGATATTTCTGAAAAGGAAACGTTAGTCTTACCAATGTGCTTTGGTCATGATGCTTACAGATAGGGGAAGAGCCAGAAAACCTCCATCCCATTTAAAACCCTTTCTTAAGCTATTGCTGCAACCCCCGGGGCCTCTCTCCCTCTCCCACATTCTGTCCTCCTGTCCAGAGTGCTGAGCAGAAGGAACGTAAGTGAGGAGTCTCCCATCAGCTAGCATGTCACCCATTCTGACAGGAAAGGAGAGGGGATCCCCTAGCGTGGCATTCTCGTTCTAGCTCTCTCCGTGAGACCAGGGGAAGTGGCGGTTTGTGATTCCGCCCTGGGTCTACACTACTGAGAGCCTGAAAGGCCGGTTCTTGCCATCTTGGCCGCTCCTGCACTGATACTGGACAGCCAGTCACTTCCTGAAGCTCCTTCTGCCAGAAGCACATTGTCTCAGGAAGCGCTGAGTGCTTGCTCGTTCCTGGAAAGGAGAAATGGCACAAGCCCCGTAGAGACTGTCACTTCCCCTGATAGCTGTGGAGGCTATAGACACAAGCAGATCAGGCGCTCAGACAGGAGACCCTTCTGTACTTGCTGATGCCCCTTGCTTAAGGAAGAACTTTCTGAACGTTTGTGCTGGACTGGTGTGCTGCCTTGGTGAATGAAGTCACTTGGCATCCAGCCTGCCTGATGATTTGAGTGTAGTCCCCAGGACCCACATATTGCAGGAGAGAACTGACTCCCACAAGTTGTCCTCTGACCTCTACATACCATGGCATGCTTATATACATATATACATACATACATACATACATACATACACACACACATTCAGACATACATATACATACAAAATATTAAAAATTATGTATTTTTTTCTTTTTATTCACTTATTTGTTGCTAGTTTGTTCCTGTTTTGTTGTGGTGCCCGGGATTAAATCCAGACACCAGCCAAGTTCTCTGTGACTGAGCTACACTCCCAGTCAGGAAAACCTCCAAATGCCTGGTGCAGATACCTAGTGCATGACATGTAATATCCTAAATCAGGCTCCCTACGTCCATCAAGGACTACTGGTAGAGCTGAGTGGTAGATTGCCTTCCTGTAACACGTGGGCTCAGTACCCAATACCACCAAAAAAATAAATACGTGAAAACTGTATGTCATAATGAAACCTGTCAGGGCTATTAGTCATGCTAATATTTATGTAAATAATAAGGTATCACTAAGTGTCAGAATTTTTAAATTTTCTGTTCGGAAATATATTTGAGGCTATCACTTTAGGAGTATTCTCTTATTCCTTTAATATGAACAATTTGTTGTTGTGCTGATGGTTGTTGTTGTTGTTTGAGGTAGAATCTCTCCGTGTAGCCCTGACTGTTTTAGAACCTAGTCCGTAGACCAGGCTCACCTCAAACTGAGAGTTCCACCCGTCTCTGCCTCCCGAGTGCAGAGGTTAAAGGTGTGTGCCACACCCAGCATTAAGAGGGATAATTTTAAACTTCATATCTTAAAACAGTAGAATTTGACAACATACTTCCTCTGAAAGTCTCTGTAAATGATCCTTAAATTTAGACATAAGGCATTCTCATCGTCTCATTGTGCAGTAGGGAAGAGCTCCCACTCTTTCCAGAAGATTTAGACTCATTTCTAATTTAAAAAAAAATCTCTGGATCGGTTCAGCATTCAAAAGACCCTTGCAGTTATGGATAATTTGGTGCCTAAAATTCATTTGTAAAAACCGTCCAATGGGGACGGCACATGTGTCCACGTGTTGCTCACACACATATACACACTCCTTCATACTGGCTTCCATGGAGGAAAAATGGCCCTGTGATTGTAGCCCCAGGACCTACACGATGGTGGTGGTCACTGGCTCAGTCACATTAGAATGTGCTGCTGTCTCCTGGTTATCCTTAGCCAGTGGCACTTACTGTCCATATTTTTATCTCCCTGCAGAATTCATCGAAAGCTGCCCAAGCCCCGTCTCCATGGGGGTCCAGTGGCAAGTAAGTTCACTTTCCCTAAACACAGTAAGCCATGCATTGCATGATGCGCTGCCCCGGGGGGACCGCCCGCCTCGCCTGCTCCCAACCTCTCCACTCTGGCTTTTCTACCTCTCTTCTTCCAGGAGCACTGGAAGCCCATCCCCCATGTCTCCCAACCCTTCTCCCACCAGCTCCGTGGGGTCTCAGGGCAGCCTCTCCAGCTCCAATGCCCTGTCCCCATCCACCATCGTCAGCATCCCCCAGCGCATTCACCAGATGGCAGCCAATCACGTCAGCATCACCAACAGCATCCTTCACAGCTATGACTACTGGGAGATGGCTGACAACCTGGCCAAGGAGAACAGAGGTGTGTGCATAAACCTGCGGGGGATGGGGACCCACCAGGTGGGGCCAAAGCTGCCCCAGGGGCATCAGTGATCAGATTTCATGGTTTGTGGGAGAGGAAAAAACTGGCACCTGCTGCATGAACCTGCTTTTACCCTCACTGTGGAAGAGAACGTAGAGTTAATGAGATGGCAGTACACACGGATGTAGGTGTGCGGACGTGGGGTTTTCCAGTCTAGGCAATGAGCTTCTTGAACGGAGACTGTGTCTCCTTTTAATCCGTGCTCCCCAAGACGTAGCCTAGTTCCTAGAACACAATTGGGGGCTCCAAAAATATCAAATATATGAAATGGATGAGGATGAATATTACAAGCTTTTTAGCATCTAAACTGCTAGCCAGGTCTGGTGGCCCAAGGCTATCATGTGGTACTCCGGAAATTGAAGCAAGATTTCTAAATCCAAGTCCAGCTTGAGCTACCAAGGGAGTTTCAGTCTAGCCTTGGCTATATAAGTAAAACCTTATATCAAAAAAAGTGTTATTTGCTTACAATAATAATAAGAGATTATCTTACATGTATTAGTGAGTTACTACTTTGAAAACAACACTTGTTTTGCTAATAGTAGAAGTAATAGGGGCCGGTGAGATGACTCAGTGGATGCAGGCCTGGCAGCCTGAGCTCAGGACCCGGAACCCACAGTAGAAGGAGAAAAACACACCCAGAAGTTGTCTCTGACCTCCACATGAGTGTGTAAGCACCTGCCTTCCTCCCTCCGTCCTCCCCACCTCTCTCACACACACACGCACACACATGTGCAAATAAAAACCTTAATGTAGTAATGGGCGTTTTCTGTGGCTAAGTCTGAGGAGCCTAGGAAAATATAGAGGGGAAGGTTTTTAGGTAGTCGGTAGATGGCCAGTCACAATTGTATGATATTATTGTGATACGGTGCTCATAGAATCATGAAGTAGCCTGATTTCTCAGTCCTCCTTTGTTGTCAGATATTTAAGTTGCTTCTAGTTCTTCTCCGACTGTGACAAATAGTGTTGCAGTAAATCGTTGTTTCTCTGTGCACACGTGTGTTTGTGTGTGTGTGTGTGTGTGTGTGTGTGTTTGTGTATGTGTGTATGGTTTTTCAAGACAGGGTTTCTCTGTGTAACAGCCTTGGGTATCTGAAACTTTGTAAACCAGGCTGGCTCCTGCCTCCCAGGTGCTGGAATTAAAGGCGTGCACCACCACTGCCCAGCTCTTATTATATGCTTAAGACAGAGTTATAGAAGTTAAACCAGGGCAGGGGCTGTCAGTGAATAAAGATTTTTTTTTTGTTTTTGTTTGTTTTAGCTTTTGAGACAGGGACTCACTCTATAGTCTAGGTTGACCTGGAACTCACTGGGTAGCCAAAGCTGGCTTCAGGCTCACCATGTAGTCCAGGTTGGCCACAAACTCATGATAATCTTCTGGCCTCAGTCTTTGGAGGGTAATCACAGGCATGAGCCGCCATACCCCATTTTATCTTGATATATAAAGAATTGAACAATTCGCTCCTCGCCCTCCAGCAACAGGATTATAGTTATAATCAGATGATAGTATAAACCCACAAGGGCCAGCAGAGTGTCCGTGGAGAGATGGGGGGCGGATGGTACAGATGAACACTCCAAGGTTGAAAGTCCAGTGTAAATGCTAGGAGGCCTCAGGCCCCCAGGAGAAGCTCGCTAGAGGAATTTAATGGAAGACGGTTTTGAAAAAGACATAGTTCAGTGGCTGGAGTGGACCGAGATGGGTATTTCAGGGATGGCACTGCCCACCACCTGCCAGGTGCCTCCTACCAGAGGTCTCAATGACATGTAGGGTACACACTGAGTCCTGTTCACCCACCCTGACCTGTTCTTCCTCTGTCCTGTGCCTGGATTTCTTCTCCTAGACAGCTTCAGTGCTCAGTCTCTCCTCTCCGCTCTCTCTCTCTCTCTCTCTCTCTCTCTGTGTGTGTGTGTGTGTGTGTATATATATATACACACACACATACATATACACTAAGTGGCCTCGGATACTTTTTTCCAAGAAGCACTGTGATTCACCCATGATAGCAGGGCATGAGGATTCATCTGGCTTGTCTTTCCCTTCCTCTACCCACCTTTCCCAGAAAGTACCTAGGTACAAAATCAAGGAGACAGCAAACAGAGACTGTCCCAAGTTAGAACGTAGCTTCAGCAGTGGTGACTGCTTGGTCCTGACCCCTAACTGACCCACTGCCCTGGAGCCCCCACTCTTTGGACCCACTTTGGGGACTCAGGCCATGACAGTTGGTAGTGGGACAATGGAGAGCTGAGCCCCACAGACATCAAGCTTCACAGGCATCTATCTACCAGAAGAAGGTAATAGGAACACAGAGATCCTTTGCAATTTGGGTCCATAAGCAGTCATTTATTTGGATGTGGGGTTTTATTTTGTTCCCGGGAGATGCCGAGCCGCATAAACAATGGAGAATGCTGAAAGTGATGAGTGGATTCTTTCTGAAGTTATCCAGGCCCTGACCTCCCCCATCACACGTCTCTCTCTGTCTCCTAGAGTTCTTCAATGACCTGGACTTGCTCATGGGACCTGTCACCTTGCACAGCAGCATGGAACACCTGGTCCAGTACTCCCAGCAAGGCCTGCACTGGCTGCGGAGCAGCGCACACCTGTCCTAGGGACCACGCCCTTGAGCCAGACTGCATTTTCCTCTCCTCGGTGGCTCAATGTTTCTGGACACTGTGCTACTGACATTCCCAGCCCACAGCATTTCCCAAACCGCGGTGAACGTTTCCTCAGAGTCCAACAGTGATCCTTTTCTGGGGCGTGTGTGTTTAGGTGTGGGTTTGTACGAAGCTTTCTGCGTGCGTGTGCGTGTGTGTGTGTGTGTGTAAAGATCAACAGCTCTTCAAAACACATTTTGTCTGGTTCCTATAATCCCAAGCTAGACAAGTGATTAGAGGTTCCTCACTGGAGGAAATCCGCGTAGCACGCGTGTACTCACACGCTCACAGACACCTCCCACCCCCAGTGCTAAGCCATTGCCTTCTTAGACAGTTCCACCAAAATCTCATGTGTTGCTGAACCTGGTGCGATCCAGCACACCAAATCATAATTGCTGGATGAGTTGAACCTAGCTTTTCTATTATTACTTTCAGTATTATATACAATTCCCCAATTACTTTTGGTTGTTGTATATTAATGAGTAATTGAATAATGGAAACAAGTCAGTTATTTTTGTGCCAGAAGTTCACTAGTTTGCATGTTACCAAATGCCTTGCCCCTCTTCCCATATCCTGCCCCGGCCCTCATTAGCTACTGAACTGAACACATTATAAGCCAGCGGAGTCCCACAAACTTCCCTTGCCTTGTCCCCACGTCATATGAAAATGGCACCAGGATTCAGGGATAGCTCAACAACCACAAAAGCAACAGTGACCATTTTGGTTCTTAATGAAGTCCGCCCCTGTGGCAAGAAGCCCTCCAGGCACAGGCGCCTCCTCTTGCTGCCACTGTGACTCTGAGGCTGCTGTCATCAGCCAGCCCATCTCAAGTCTTTCCTCTCTACAGTAGCTTTCTCACAGCCGTCTCGGCCAAACGAAGATGCTGTCTGGAAGGTGCCAGCCCTAGATCTGACCGCTGCCTACAGGACTGGGAGCGGTTTGCCGCGGTGACTCCGTCCGCACACAGTGGGTGGCTCCAGGCCTTAGTGCATTTCAGTTTGGAGAATACTTTCAGGCTTTCGTTACCAAGCTGCTTACGGCGCAGGGAAAGTTATCCCTTTGATGATCCCAACTCTGGAGCAGCAATGACCAGAGTGTCTTGCATATATCTTGAGCATCTGGTCTATGTGTGTCTTGACCATGGTTCTTTTCTGGGTTGATTTTTTTTTTTGTCGGATTTTTTTTGAGTTTATGTATTTAGTTTTTCAGCATCTTGTTTACAGTTTCTGTCTGAAGTTTGTTTTCCCATGTTTTGTCATACCTTAGACTTAGTCTTGTTAAATATACGTGGACCTGAAATATTAGTATAAAGAAACAAGTCCTGCCAACAAGGTGTATCTTGCCACACTATAAAGACAAACTAATGTCCTTGGGTTTACTGGGCCCCACTCTACCACATCAACCAGAGGAAGATAGGTAAGGCCACCTCTGCAGTCCACTGTTGAAGGTGGCAGGGTCCCACAATGTGTGTCCTGTGTTTCCACTGTCTCCCTGTGAGTTTAGTTATGTTCACATTACCATTCTGTCAGCCTTCTCAGTAGGTGGTTGATAAGACTGCCCTCATTCCCCAGCTCCCAAGGCAGAGTCGACATTGTACAAACAGCTGACCATGGTTTGGATTCCCACCAAACTGAATTATGGGATTTGCATTTGACTTTGGCCCTCAAACACGTGAAATTTTTAGCTGTACATGGACTTTGGATGTTTTGGGCCAGAATTTTTTTTTAAGATGGACTATTTGTGAATACATAATTAGGTATCTTGGGGGAGAGGACTCAAGTCTAAACATGAAATTCATTTACCTTGTATCCTTGAAGGCAGCGTCTGCGGCATCGGTTGTAAGCTATGCCCACGAGGCAGGTATGGGATTCACCACTAACGTCATAACTGCTCAAGGAGTTATCGATTTCCGAGCAGTTTGGGTTTCAGATTCTTGAAATGGGAACGCCCCACCTCCATTCCTACGTTTATATTTATCTCTGCAGCGCGATCCATGTACCCCTTTCACTCAGTGTTGGCAGGTTTGTGATCTATCCTATGTGTAAATCCGAATATAAGAACTTTGAATCACCTTTTGTGCAGGAGTGGGACTTTGTTCTAGTTGCTCTCGGTGAAATCTGGTGAAAAGGTCAAACTCTCACACAGAGGGATGCCCTCAAGGGCCCCTGCACAACCTTGGGGAGCTTTCCTAGTCCTGCCTGTCTTCAGATTTATAGGCTTAGTCGTGACACCGATGTAATCTGCATCCCTGGAAAGCCCCACCAAATTGCAAAGGTGGCCTCTGGCTGGTTGTACCAGTACAGATTTGATGAACACACTGGGAGCTGTTTCCCCTCACACCCCAAAACAAAACTTGGAGAAAGAGGTCTTCTGGGGACACAGTCAGAGCGTCCAGCTCCTATCCCTGTCTCATCTCATCAGTGAATCACGTGTCAGGCCCAGGATAGGTAATTTTATGAAGAAACCATCTTCCACTTGATGGGACTCAATGTTTATAATTCTGTTGAGGAGCCATCTTCCATTGGATGCTAGGAAAGTCCTCCATAACAAGTTCCTTTCCTTAAGTTGGCTTGCAAATGACACATCTTATGTTTTATAACTATAAAAGTCCTACATGTTCATTCTAGGAATGCAAATAATGCCGAAATGTAGAAGATGTTAAGTCTGTGGTTGCTCAGTGATCTGTAGCCTTCCAGAGGGCTTCCATTTAAACTAACATTTGTTACCCCTTGTTTCTCTTTGAAGACATCTTCCTCAGACATTCCACCAGAGTCCAGCCGGTCTTATCTCCCATGACCTGAGTAGATGCCACCTCTTGTCACAATGTTAGACTTAACCTTTGAAAGGGGGGTAGCTTACAGGTGACCCTGAACAAACTTGAGCCTTAGTACTCTGCACAGAGGAGTGTCCTGTGCAGGCGTGCCTGGACAGAAAGGTTTGCTTAGGACAGGCGCGTCTGGAAATGTTCACATTGCAGATGGAAACTTGGACCCACTCCTGAGAGGAATGTACTGGAAATAGACACTAAACAGTTGACAAATTATGTGCTACATTGAGCACATGGAATGCAATGCAATGAGGTCTTCTGCACTAAAGCATATCCTATATCTGCAACAATGGTGTGTGTGCTGTATAAGAGTGATGTGTGCATCTCTGACACCCGTACAAAATAGACACAGTCTGTATAAATGCATACATTTAAAAATATATATGTACAGTACCGCTGGCATAGACCTGTAGTACGCCTGACAGATATTACTAGTGCCTAATACTGAGTATAAGTCACTGCGTGTCCACATCACCTTGGAAGTGCAGTCATTGTTATAAAACCAATCAATGCAGCGACATTATCTATGAATCACATCCTTAAAACTGTGCAGTAGCATATGCATATATATTTTTAAATAACATTTTTCACAGTTTTCCAGAGTTACCATTGAAATCTGTATCGCCAAAAAAAAAAAGAGAGGAAAAAAAATGCAAGTTTTTTTTTAATGATGTAGACACTCTTCAGCCCCAGTGATCTGCGTGTGATTTCCTATTTGTAGATACTCCAGAGACCTTAGCAGTCACCAGCCTTAATGCATGTACAGGATATTATTGTGACTTAATTTATCTGTAGTTTTTAATCCATACAAAATTGGAATTTATAAACGGACTTGGATTGAATATGTCTGCCTTTCTAAGGTTGCAAACAATACATTAAATGATTTATGTTGTACGTGAGAGAAAACGAGTTGTACATTTAAAAAAAAAAGTTCGCCAGTTTCTCTTAATATTTTACGAGGAGACTTTAGAGTTGAAATATTTTCAAAGCAGGATTCTGGCTCCCAGCTTGGAATTGATTTAGAGGCAATTTTGTTTCATGAACCAACCAACCTTCCTTCCTTCCCTTCTCTCTTTCATTTGTTTATTTATTCTTTCCTTTCCTTCTTCCAGGCCTTGAACGCAGGGCCTCACACATGCTGTAGCTCCCTGCACTGAGCTCCATCCCCAGCACTTCCAGTGTAGCCTCCGTGGGTCGTCATCATTAAGTCTGATATGTCTCAGTAGAACTGTAGTTCACGACTTCCCCTTCCTTACCCACATATATCCATCCTTCCTTTCTCCTCTCCCACCACACACTTTTTTTGGTATGCCAAAGAGTGCTGATGAGGAAAGCAGAGAGGAGAGGTTCCTGGTGGCGACTGCATGGCTGGATGCCTGCTCAAGTAGCCCCGAGATTCCGCTCTAATCAACACTCTTTAATGGCACAAGTCAGCTCTTCGACTTCTTGTGCCAGGCTTTTCCAACTTAAACAACACGGCAGAATCGTGTTTGCAGTACTTGCTTGAGATAATAATGGAATTGTGGATTGAGCTGAAATATTAGACCAGCGGTGGCTAGGACCATGACCTAGTACCTACGTAGTGAGGATGCCAGCCTTTTTTTTTTTTTTATCTCCCTCCCTCTTCCTTCTCCTCTCCAAGATGAAGAAGCAGAAATAACAAACACAAAATGACTTCTTGACCTGATCCAGTCCGTATCCTCAGGTTCGGGTGTGTTACCCACTGTGTCCCGTGACACAGTCCATACAGTCTAGAGAGAAAATACACAAAAGGTTGGACAACTCAATTCAGCCCTCATCAGCCAAGCAGAGGTGACCAACCAGGAAACACACCTGGTCCCCAAAGGTGGCTAGGACAGGGGACTTGTCCTTACTAGGGACCACTGAGAGCAGTACTCTTTGAGAAGTGGGCAACCTTCCAAACGATAGCTGCCTTTCTGTCAGATAACTTGTTGGTAACACTGTCGGAGTCTATTGCTGTCAGAATCCTGTTTCAAAACACACCTCACTCTCAGTCAAGCCTAGACAAACTGGAGTCTTGAAAGACATCCTTTAACATAAGAGAGGGGAGGGAAGCCTGGCCACAGAAACCTCATTTTCAACCATTTGGAGTTGGCATTTGGTTCCTCAGATTCCCGTTCCCAGAAGGGCACTTCTGACAAGCAGCAGAGGAGTTTCGATCTGAGAACTCAGTGCTCTCTGTCCAAATCGTGTGTCTGTCGTCGGAACGGTTAAGTTGTTTGCTTGGCATGAGGCACATTATAAAACTCCATTCTCAAACTAATTACATCTGACCACGGTTTCAGTTTTTATTATTTAATTGGCACTTTCAATACCAAGGGGTAAATTTGAGGTCAGCTGCAGAGGGATTTGCAGTCACAGCTCTTGGCAGTAATGGGAATCAAGGGATTAAACCTCTGTGTGTGATTCGGAAAGTTCATCTCTTAGAGCCAATTTTAAAAACAGTGATGTGAAGGATGAATTTAAGGTGTTAGTCCCAAATAAAAGCAATTAGGCATCTAAGATATAGCTGGGGTCCACAGGGCATCAGAAGTATTGATGAGGCCCTGAGAAGCTGAATCAGGCTCGTTCCTGCTTGCTTTCAAAATACGAAAGCTCGTGGAGAAATGGTTGGTACCCGGATAGGATGTAAAGTATCCTTCACGCCTGGAACTCTCATTGTTATTGATGAAAATCACTATGACATTCTACTTCCTTATCAGACCTCAGTGCTTTTTCAGTTTTTCGTAAAACAAATTTCACCAACATTTATGAAGTCTATATTTGAAGATGAGCAAAGAGAAAATCCTCAACACAGGACTGTTTGTGACTCCGTGGCATGGCATTCCATCCACAGTAGCCAAGGGTGTGTGCATAGTCTCGGAGCCTCCTCTGTTACCTTTGCCTGAGAGCATGAGTACCACAAATGTGGCCACGTAGTTGAGAGGTCAGTGATTCCGAACATAGAACCTGATGCTGTTTTCCAACGCACGCACACCCTTTCAGAGTCATTACTGAGTCCCTTTCTAGTAGAGGTGGGAATATTGACACTTTGCGTAATTTCAAGTTGATTCCCTGGAGTTCAGGGTTTCCAATTCAGTTCCAAAATGCACCCCTTGGAGAACTGGATTGATTGTGTTGTTATTCTTGGGGTGCAAATTCTGTAAGTCAGATTTAGTATCTTGTCCTTCAGTAGAACAAGTCCAAGAGACATAAAAAAACTGCAAAGCAGGAAGTCACTGATGCTGGGGACCGCGGAACAGTCACTGAGTGCCTAGGTACTTTCCTCTACCCAGTGACACCTAGCCCTTGAAGAAAGCTGCCCTTCCTGCTTCACTGGCCTCTGTGAAGTGTGGCTCAGCTCACCCACTGCCCCACTTAATGAGTGTAAGGATCAATAGATTGGCACACACATGTTCAGGTGCCCCCATCACTCAGCAGGGTTCAAGCATCACCGTATACCAGAAACGGTGACATAGCCCTGTAATAATCTCAGCACTTGAAAACCTAAAGCAAGAGACTTGTGGGTTCAAGGTCATCTTCAGCTATATAGTAAATTCAGTGTCACATCGGATATGTAGCAAAGGCCTTATTGTGGAAGAGGCAAAGGAACTACACTGTGCAGGCATCAGGTGTGTGCTGTGGAAGAGAGAACTTTCTGGTGGGATCTGGAACTGACCACAGGGTAGCCACAACCCCACTCTCAAGCACATAAGAGAGGAGCAAAGACACCCAGGGGGCATAGTTGCTGGAGAACTATCCTCAACAGCATCCATGTGTGTTGTCAGGATTCGGAGTCCTTTCTGGTTGGAGGCAGCCCCATCAGAACATTAAGAGGTGTCACAATGGGCTGGAGAGATGGCTCAGCGGTTAAGAGCGTTGCCTGCTCTTCCAAAGGTCCTGAGTTCAATTCCCAGCAACCACATGGTGGCTCCCAACCATCTGTAATGAGGTCTGGTTATGAGGTCTTCTGGTCAGCAGGCATACATGCAGACAGAATATTGTATACATAATAAATAAATAAATAAATATTTTTTAAAAAAAAAGAGGTGTCACAACCAAATTTCCACCTTCATCACCACCCAGCTTGGGCCTTAAGTTAGTGGTCTCCAGATGGAAAGGGAAAGAAGCCACTTGGGGCTCATGACCTGACATCCCCCATGAAAAACCACTCAGTGCTCCAGTTCAAGAATCATGGTGCTCTCGGGCATTACCCCTGGAGATGGGGAGATCAAGTTCTCTTG